AGGCAGAGTTTGTCCCCCTCTCAAAATAGCAACATTTGATTAAGGAATTATGGGAAGTCCCAAGGGCATGCCTTTGTGAAAACTCAATTGTTGATCAAGGAATTTATAATTGAAAACCCTTTTTAAGAAGGAACTTGTAATGAAGACACCCTCAATATTTCAATTAGGGCAACATTGAAACTGTCAAAGCATAGAAAATTCCATTTAAATATAAGGGTAAAATATAAAAACCTTTCCTGAGTTTTTTGACAATCTTATAAACCTCCCCTATGTTTTGATTTTAACAGAATCCCCCCTATAGTTTTGAAAAAAGCTATAAATACCTCCCTTCCACTAAAGTTCCGTTAACTTAGAAGAAGAATTTACTAAAATACCCTTAAATACTACCAAGTATCATCCTCCTCTTTATGAGATGTATACTTAGAGCAAGCTTCTCTTTGAAACAAAAACATCTCCACAAATTCACTAGCAACATTCCCGTAGGTTTCAGCAAGATTTCAACAGGCAGTTGATAATCTTAATTTAGATTCCATGTTTGATTTCTCTAGTTTGTCAAGATTTTTGCTCTTGAGGATCAATCCATGTGGAAGGCAATGCCTTTGACTTTGTTCATGTTAAATTTAATAAAACAATCCAGGTAAGATTGAGAGAAATAGGTTGGTGCTTAATACTTAATAGAACTTTGAAATTTTTATTTTCAGTTTTATGATTTGAGATCGTGTTAGGAATTTCTTTGAACACTTCAAGTAATGTCATGCGCATCATATGAGCGCATTATAACGATGAATCCAGTACGGTCGAAGCCTTTTGGGTAGATTAAATAGTTCTGAAAAATTACTGTTAAATTACTTAAATAGTAAAAGGAATCGCTTAGAACCATTTAACAGGCATCTCCACAAAGTCTCTAGACCGTGGTTCCTATTTGCCTATCACCTGAAAAAAAAATAAAACAGAAAATGAAAATAAAAAAATAGGAAAGAAATAGAATGAAGAAGAAAGAAAGAGAAGAAGAATAAAAGAGACAGAAAATTAAGAAAATGTGAAAAATAAATAAAATAGAGCAAAAGGATAAAAAAAAAATGAGTGACGATTGGTTAGTTCAATTGAGACAGAGAAGTGGAAAAAACAGGGGTAGGAGATTGGTTTGCTTCGGTTACCACTTTAAGGGTAAATGTGGTATTTTAAGAAAATTAATCTATTACTTTAGGGTTTTTGGCCAGAAAAACTAATAAGAGGGAGGTATATGCACCATTTTTCAAAACTATAAGGGAGGATTCTGTTCATATTAAAACACAAGGGAGATTTATAAGATTGTCACAAAACTCAGGGGAGGTTTTTGTATTTTACTCTAAATATAATTCTTGAACCAACACAGAACAAATGCACCATTTTAACCAAGTGCTTCACTTGTTGGCCGAAGAAAGTATTGGAGGCTATCCTATGTTGTTTTTGTTTCCCAAATGACCCTATCAATTTATAAAAATCATATCACTATTCAGCAAGTTGCGTCAATACACTAGACCACTTTCTTCGTCAAATTAGTCAAATCCATGATATCCACTTTAAGGGCTATTAAATGGTAAAAAATAAAAAAGAAAAGAAGAAGAAGAGAAAGAAAAAAAGAGATAAAAAAACAATAAGAGAGGAAAAGAAAAGAGAAGAACAAAGGAAAAAAAAAAGAGAGAGAGAAGAATAAAAGTGACTTGGGGGAGTGGGCTTCTACCAAAAGAACCCTAGTTCTATCAAGAATGAGGAACATTTCAATCAGTCGCATATTGTGCTCAACATGTATTTCTACAATAGGTGCCATGTAGTCAAAAATGAAATGAAACGTGGCCATTCTTGGCCGTCTATTCAACCTTGTGCTCTCAAATCCTGATTATGCAAAGTAAGATCCCCTATTTAACTCTTTGAGCCATATTCTCAACTTTTCTTTTTCTTTACATAAACACCTCCTAGAAGGATTATGTCAAAATCAAATAGAGTGTAGTTAAAACAATCAACCGAGAGCTATATAGCAAACAAAGAATTCAAAAAGAAGAGTGATGCTGCTCAATCCATTGGGAAGAGCAATCAGATAGTCCTTATTGACAGGGCGAGACCGAGATATAAGGACGAGGCCGCGCTTCAAGACCTATGATCAAGAAAGAAGTCAGAGGCCCAAAGAATTATCGTCAGGTAAATACTCCGACGCTCAAGTCAGTAAGAGGTGATGGGTGGTCAGGCCGAGCTAAGTAGTAGTACGGGTCTCAAAAGTTTGATCCCTTACCTTGAGCATGAAGTACATTTTTATAGCCGAAGATCCATGTCCTGGTCGGATTGTGCTTCCGGGATTGTCGGGATGAGGTTAATCGCCAAGGTATACGAGATAGAGTCACATTCCCGAGCGGAGTCGTCTTTCCTCATTCCTCCTTACCTGTAATTGTACTAATCCATTTGACGTGGCTGGAAGGATAAGATGGGGGCCACAGTAATAGCATAGCTTGGAGAAGGAATAACTAAGGAAAGTCGCACAGTTGTTGACAAAGGTCATGGCAATAGATATGAAAGGCGATCCAGAGGCAACATCAAAAGAAGTGGAGGAAGAACTAGAAGAAGATTGCGACATCTTTACGAATTTGGTGGCGATAGAAACAAAGAAAATAGAAAGAAGAATGGTCTGAAAAAGGGTTTAGGGGATAAATGAATAGTACTCAAAAGGATCTTTCAAAAACACAAAGTGGTTTTCCAACAACGCTGGTATACATGTGTTGCCACGTGGCCCAATAGGATTTCACCCACATCTAAGAAAATCACTTTCAAAGGCTTTCAGTTTCTGTCTCTTGTCCATTAGACCCTATTAAACGCATCTTTATCTATCAAAATTTTAATGTGCATGAGACTTGCGGTTACCCAAACCAAAGGGAGATAATAGAATTGTCTAAACTTTTGAAACTGAGATTTTTACAAGAAAAACAATGTTTCTTGGTGACTCATAGCCCAATGGGAATTAGAGATTCTTTGGGTTCAAGGACCTAGGTACGGTGTGAGAAGGTGTTAAGCACCTCACATATGGCCAGTTGAATCAACTTCTACTTCACCAACGTTTCAATTTTTTAAAACCCCAAATTTTACTCCAAGTAGAGGGGTGGCCACCAATGAATTTTATTAATAATATGGAAATAATAAAAAACTATGAAGGGAGACATAAAAACCTTACCCATTTAGAAATGTTCCAAGGAATACTCAATATTTTTTGTGCTTAACAAAGAAATAAATGTCACAATGAGGTAACTAGAGAAAAAAAAAAACTATGTAATCAAACAATGAATAGGAAGATACAAAACACTAAAACACTAGAACATGTTTAAAGAGATTAAGGCAGAAATTAATGGAAAGTCTAGGTGACACATTATGTGAGTGGGTCCTAAGATGCAAAGCCATAAATGGAGATTTATAGGTAAACAAAAACCAACACTGAAACAAAATGAAGTGGATCATGAATCAAGCAAAAAAAAAAAAAAAAAACTTAGTTGAGAAGGCTAAATGTTGATTCTAAAAAAAAGACATGTGAAATTGAGATAGACGGATGAAATGGATTGAATGGGATTATAGGGGCACGAGGAGATAGTAATTTTTCATGAGGGGGCCAAAATCTAAAATGGATTAGAGAAAAAGGGAAAATAAATGTAAATGGAATCAGATAAGGGCAACCATTGAATTAGGGAGTGGGGGAGAGGGGAAATTTACATGAAAATTAATTTATACTAATAGTGGTGAATTTCTGGACCATGGCGGGGCCATGGCTCTGCCCCTAATGGGAAGACTTTGTGTCATGCAAAAACACCTAATATAAAATATGTAAATATCTAGTGTTGATGAGAGGCTAATGAATTGCCTAAACGTGTGATGGGAATTAATCCAGCAAAACTCAAATGTATGGGCATGAACTAAAAAGGTTTAACCAAGAGCTGAGGTCCAAGTTAATCTAAATGAGAGATGGAAATTTGTTTAAGACCTTCACTCACTCCTAAGAGGCAGCCTTGAATATTTCCTATGCAAGCCAAGAGACGATAATAAGTACGTAATATATTAAGTTGAAAAAAAAAACACAAATTAGAGAAAATGAACCTACAATTTGATCGAGATGCTAAGAGGGTGACAAAGCAATTCGACAATCTTAAACAAACAACCTTAAAGAACGCTGAAGCGAGAGAAAGCAAACAATGAGAAGTGAGGAAATATAATGAAATTGAAAAAAAAAAAAAAGCAACCTGCAATAACTCCAGATCAAATTGTGTAAGAGTATGAGATGTTCCCTATGTGTAGTTACGATGTTATGTGAGTAAACATGGACAAAGTTCTTGTGGGCAAGAGAACCAGACTCATATGCAATAGGTTGAAACTGAGGACTTCAGATTTGTGCCCCACAACGTACCACAACACATCTCTGTCGTATATTGGGAACATCTCCCATTGTGGGGTGCAGATGTGAACTCGAAATTGAGATTGTTATCTGGTTACAGAAATCAACCAATAATGGGACTAAGAAACTGAGATGGTGAGAGGGTTTGAACAAATTGAAAGAGGAAAGGATTGCATTAGGAATGGCAACGGGGCGGGTTCAGGGCGGGGAGTACATTCCCCATCCCCGACCCCGACCCCCAAAACACCCCAGATCCCCGTTCCCGGTCCCCAATGGGGAAAGGAATCCCCCTCCATCCCCGACTCCGACAGGGATAAATTCCCCGTCGGAGACCCGAATCCCTGAAACTAAGAGAGAGAGAGAGAGAGAGAGATGACCGTTGGGACTTGGGAGAGTTTATGTCGATAATGACTGATGAGAGAGAGTCTGAAGGGTGACAGCAACGGTGATGATGATGAAGGTCAGTGGTCTGCGAATCGGCAACGAAGACGAAGTCTCTTCCTCAATTCTCTGGCCTCTCCTCTGTTCGATGTCCGATGGGCAAGTGGGCAATGGCAACAGTCAGCGATGGTAGTTGGCGGTCGATGAATCGACAATGAAGATGAAGTTAGGCTTTACTGGTTTTGTGGTTCAATTGCCTCTCTTGAGTCTTCTCTATCGAAGACAGAAGAATGAAAACCGGTAACTGGTTTAGTCGAGGGTTAAGGGTTTTCCAATTTTTTAAGTTTTCTTGATTTCTTCGAATTATGTTTTAGACTTTTAGTTTTTACTGTTTTATAAATAAATTAATAATTATTATACTTATATAATATATAATATTATATTATATTATATATATAAAATAATATAATATTAATCGGGACGGGGCGGGTGGGGATTGCATTCCCCGTCCTCTTCCCCATTCTCGATCGGAGATTCATGGGTAGCCCTATCCCCGACCTCGACCCCATCGAGTCGGGGAGCCCAGGTACCCATCGGAGACGAGAAAAATTGCCACCCCTAGATTGCGTTGAGAAAACAAATAGAAAATTAAAAAAATAAACAAACCTAATGAGAAGCAAACCGACCTATTGAGGGAGGCTGTGAGAGGGAGAATGGGGAGGAGCCCCAGTTTTCACGTCAATCTTTCAATGTTAATTTTTTCTTTTAATCTCCACGAAGTGAGGGAGGCTGTAAAGGTAATTTCCCACTACGTCGCTTTTTAGAATCATAATTGCTATAACACTGTTCATTTTATATGATATGAATTGAATTTTGAACCACATAACCCCTTTTTCCATTGGCATGTGTCCTACTTTTATGACGACAAACTCTCCTGATGTACGACGCCAAAGTTTTTCTGTTATCATGTGAAAATTTATTTTTCTTTATCATTCATTTTGTATAATGTAAATTTTTTATTTTTATTGTAGAATTATAAATATTCAAAATATCAAAAAACCACACACTCTATGCATTCATATCAGTCTGTAAATTGGTATAAATTTCAAGTTGACACCTACCCAAATATACTTTGAATATACAAATTCTAATCCTGGATGATCATTTTCCCTATAAATTATGGAACTGAGACAAAATAAGATGCATGTGAGGACCATTAATTTTACCACGGAGAACCGAGCCAAGAGTTATGGAGATTTGATCTTGGACCCCCCCCATACCGGAGGAATGACAAGGTGACTGGCATCATTGTTTTACAAGCTCTATCATTACCGTATTATGTCACTTGCCTTGGATTCATGTCCGGGCCATAAAAATCAAATTTGAATATTTTAAAAGTATTGATGATCTTTGTATATGTTTGACATAGATCGATGCTGCAGTTGTAGTATCATTTCTGCTGATGTGTGGTTGAAAGTACCGTTTTCTCAAACGGTGCCTTTATTTTTGTTTGGAATCATTGCTGTTAATTAAGACGTTTCCTAAAATAACAATAATATTTTCTTTTTAGTATCAATGTTCCAGGAAACGTTTTCAGCATTGGTACTCATTATCCAGTGCTACATCATTGCTCTCTGTTAGTAGCAACAATTTGCAATTTCAGGAAACGCCAAATTTAGTGTTGCTCCAAGTCATTCTTGATTTTCGAGACGTGGCTTGGAGCACTGTTTTATATAGAAAAACGGTTCCAAACAAATGTCCGTTTCCTGGAGCACTGTTTTTTCCGATGTAATGCTGATGTAGCACCGTTGCTCCAGAAACGGCAACTATGCCAAACAGCTGCTTAATATTTCCAAACGTGATTTTTTTTATTATTTAAGGATAAGTTAAAGATTGGGTACCTTGTACTTTGGAGTAGTGGCAATTACCCGTGAACTTTTATTTTCAATAAAGACCCCTAACATTTAGATTCAAACAAAGACCCCCATGTTTTATCATTCCTAAATTAACTTTGAAAAAGATTCTTATGTGATTGTTCATTTTTTTGTAAATCCCCAAATTACCCTTTTTTCAATGATCTTTTAGGGTTTTTTTTTAATTATATTTCCATCTGTTACTTATTTAGTTAAATGTAATTCCACGTTTTCACAAAAAGTTTCTTGATTTTTTGTTGCAATTTTCATTTTATTGAAATTTCTTGCATCGATAGTTAGATAAATTAACTTCTTTCGCCACTCAACTTAACAAAGAGAGGTCTTTGTAAGAATGTGAAAGTTGAGGGGGTAATTGCCACTAATCCTAGTATAGGGTAATCTATAATATAACCTTAATTTAAATATTTTAATGTTTAAATTTAATCTGAGTTAAGATATTTAAAAGAACTATTAAAAAATGCTTTCAATAATGTCTTAATGAGGTGGACAAGCTGAGGTGAATCCAACAATTTACGACCACATAAGTCAGAAGCCCCAAGGTGGTTCCTTAGGGAGGAGCACTCCAACGCCAAGTTAGTAATTAGAAGAGGAGGTTGACTAGGCCGAGTTAGTGAAGATAAGCTGATTGTAGACAAGCTAAAGAGCTTAAGAGAATAAGAGAGCTAGTATGGCAAAAGTATAAGAAAGAGATGCCTTGGGTAGCATACCCTTATATACCTACAAGGGAGTGTTGTTGTGCTCCTCACTTTGAGGGACACGTGGTGTTCTTCGAAGCTAATCCCAATTGAGGTTCTAGGGATGGTTTTGTACTTCCCGCATGACAGAGGTTAAGCATATGTTTGGTATCGATGGTACAGGTGCTGTTGATGTGTGGATTGGAAGCACCGTTTTCTGAGAAAATAGTGTTTTTTTTTTGTTTGAAAACGTTGCTGCCAGGTAGGATGTTTCATGGAGCAATAGCAACACTTTTTGTTTGGTACCAGTGCTCCATGTTTGTTTTCAACACTAGCACCCATTATAAGAAGCCCACATCACTACCATATCATATTCTTGTTGGCAGCAATGAATTGCAATCTAAGACACCATTACTTTCTGATACGTGTCTTAGAGCACCATTGTTTTTTTCCGATATGGTGCTGATGCATCACCGTTTTCTGGAAGAACGGCATCGATGCCAAACAGACGCTAAGTCAAGCCTAACCGCCCAACGTTCACCACCTATCCCTCTCCATCTGTCTACGACATGCACTGTAGCCATCCTCTTCGACGAATGGCAGTGCACCACGTCAGCCATTCTCCACATCAGCCAGGCATCATCACATAAGGAGATGTACATGATGGTTCAATTGGGGTGAGATACGACACCATCAATCACTTTCCTAATACGATGGATAAAAGAATGTGAACATTAAAAAGTACAATTTACTAGTACCAACCTTGGTTTTCTTAATATACTTGTATCACACCTACCTTGGTTTTCTTCAACCTGTTTTCAGCATTTCATTCACATCTTAATGTTGTGGTTTCAACAAGTATACAATATTTTTGTTCATATAATACAAGAAAATGTCAAAAAGTAGGGTAGAATAGAGTGTTAAAAGGTTTTGAACATCATTTGAATATTTGCCATTACTAAAACTGATGGAAAGTTAGTACTGGTAAGGGACTTCCAAAAGTTTTCAAATGTTATTTAAATATTTCCATCCATTAAAACTGACAGAAAATTAAGGTAATGTTTGATTTGAAGGAAAAGGAGAGGAAAGATAAGGAAACTTATACAAGATTTGTAAAAGGTTTTCTTGCCTTTCCCTACTTTTTCCCTAAAACCAAACATAGGGAAAGGTGAAACGAGTAAAATTCAGAGGGGATTTTTCATTAGTCAAGGCTCGTTTGGTATCATCAACCAAATTACAAGTAAAGGTGCAACTTGTGTGTGTGCTCGGATTGAGATTGTCAAATTTTGAATAAACCCATTTTAAAGACCCAAACCCGAAGAAGTGCAAAATGCTTTTTTGGGCCTACCCAAATTACACCCTAGAAGAAGGTTCTATGGTGCCAACCGGCCAATTTTTATAATATATTGTAAAAATTAAAAAACTAAAAACCTGATAAAGCGAACTGATGGTCAGCTAAATCAGTCAACGGTTAACCGATTAGTTTTATTTCAATTTTGATTACCTGTTTTTCAAAAATCAATAATACCGGTTCAGTTAAAAAAAAGCCCACCATGCAATTAACCAAATTGGGGGCTTATGGGTTTGGGGGATGGACTACCCGTACCCGTTGTATAGACTCTTAGAGCTAAAAAAACGATTGTAATTAGAATAAAGTTGTAGCATTTGACCAATGAAAGGCCCCACGAAAAAAATAAAATAGAAGACCTCACGTGGATATTAGATTCTCCTGTGAAATGTTTACATTAAACTCCAAAGCATGTGCAAAAAAAGTTAGAGCGTATCATTATTTCCGCTTCCAGACCGACCGCCACCACAATAGTATATAATTAGTTCCATTCCCAGCATTGTATCACACATCTAACAGATGAAAAAAAAATAGAGGACGGGGTTGATGGGGTTGACGGGGTTGTGATGCACCACCCTCATTACAATAAACATTAATTCCACTGTGGACTGGACTCTGGAGATGTTAGTACCTCTTGCTAAACCCATATTGATCCCTTGATTAGGTGTATTATTTCTGAGGTGAATTAATTGGGTTCAAGTTCAAAATATCGATACTGTTCTACTATACGCCGGCGTATCGGACTGCATCGATCCACTCACGCTACTATTCTTTTTTTTTTCTTTGTGAAACCAGCTTTAGAGGGTCAGTTTAAGGTCCTTCTACCCTCTGAACCGGATTGAATCCCACGTATCAGTCGATACGGTTTCATACTTATTAAAATTTTGAATCTTGATTGGGTTGCATTGGCTTTGATTCGCACTTGGGTTGAACCACACCCAATCTGACAGTTTTACATCCCTAATTTCCTATTATTAGAGGTGTAAATCGGGTCGGACTGTCTGTGGCCCGGCACGGCCTGGCACGACATCCCACGAGCCATGTCAGGCCCGGCACGATGATTCATGCCATGCTGGGCATGAGGTTCGAAGTCCATGGGCTGGCCCGGAATAGCACGATCAAGCCGGTCGTGCCGCCCGCGGCCCGGCTGTACATATATATATATATACACATAATATTTATATATTTTATATATTTATATATATATTATATATTATACAAATTATAATTATATAATATATAGTATATAATATATTAATAAAATAAACAATTTTTTTCAATTTTGTTATACTAATTTATTTAATTATTGCATATATAACCAATTGTATACATCAAAATTCATATAAAATTAAAATTTTAAGTTTTATTTTAATTTTTTTAAATAAATAGGCAAACATAGCTTTGGCCCGCGGCACAGCACAGCATAGGCCCACACGGGCCGACCCCCAAAGTTTTCACCGGGGAGGGCGGCACGGCCAGCAGGCCAGCATGACACGGCCCACAATTTGCGCGGGCTGCATGCAGGTTGTGTCGTGTTGGCACAACACGGGCCACTTTACACCTCTACCTATTATGGACCACAAGTATTAAAGATTAATCATCCAAATTATACTTTTAGGGTCCATTTGATTCACAAACAAGATTGGAATTAGAATCAAATTCCAATTGTTGATGTTTGGTTAATTCGGAGTTGGAATCGGAATCAACTAAAAATTCTAAATTTTATATTAGTCTATCTATTATTATTATTGCTTTATTAATACTTTATAGATATATAATTACTCTTTTATTAGTACTTTGTTATCATTAATTTATTAGTATTTAATAACTAATATCTTATTATTTATCATTAATTTATGAATGTTTTAGTAATATATTATTATTATTTTACTATGACTTTAATAATATTTATATTATTATATTTTATTATAAATTTATTAATGTTATATTATTTTTGTTTACTATTTTAAAATAAACTTATTATTACTTAATAATTAATATATTAGTATTTTATTAATAATTTAATTATATTTTATTAATATTTTATTTGTACTTAATTGTTATTATGATTATTATTTAATAAATAATATCTTTGTTTTTTATTGTGAATCTACTAATATTTTATTGTACAACTATTATTTTATTAATATGTTGCTAATATTTTATTCTTATTTTAATTATTAATATATTCTTATTTTAATATTATTATATTATTATAACTTTCATAATATTTTATTATTTAATTATTAATGTTTTTTTGTTTAATTAACATTAGGGTTTGGATTTTTTTGTCATGAAATGGGAATCCCATTAAGTGAAGAATGGGAATCACAACTCCATTCATGCCAAACAAACAGTTGGAATCAGAATGGATCGTGTCGATTTCGATTCCAAACACATATAGCTCACATGTGCCTCCTCTTACTCTCCTTTCTTGTACATGTGCATATTTATTTTTAAATGAATTCATTAAAAATAAAACATGGCAAAATTAAAACCCTCATGGGTCTTCATTGTCTCTCATAAAATCCATATGTACTCCTTAATAACACCATTCTTCTTCTTTTTCTTTTCCCTCTCCCCTCTAGTAGTCAGCAATGTTTTAAAAAATGACCCAAAAACGGAACCGTTCTAACCACCAGTTTTTGGGCCAACGGTTTGACCGCCCAGTTCGAGCAAATGACCCGTTTTGACAAAAAATTAAAAAATGGCAAAAAACCATTGAATGAGTCGAACATGTTGATGGTTCGACCGCTCGAGTCAATGGGTCATTGACCAATTCAACGGTTTTTGGCCAGGGACCGGATTTGAGGTAAAACGGAACTGGTTGCATGGACAGTTTTCGGTATAACCGTTTGGGTCAATGGCGGTTCAAAAATATTGTTGTAACATCTCCCCTCCCCGTTAAATCCCTCTTTTCCTCTTAAATCTCTTTTTATCCATTTTAACTCTATCCAATAAAGTAGGATTGTTAATTAGATGGATTGGGGTAAGTTAAGGGCCAACCTAAATATGAACGCTATCTTTGACCCAAACTAATGTCAAAACCCAAATTTGCCTACTACATGGGGTGAACCAATATTCTTCTTGTATAAAAGTCTAAAGAAACCATTTCTTCTTTCCACGGGTTATTAGGTTTTCTTGTTCTTTTATTAATTTAGTATAGATTTGTTTCATGGATTCTTTTGATTCAAGTTCAACAATACAAAGCACTTGACATGAGCCTTTGGTTATCTTTGTTAATTCAATTTTGAAATTGCTTTTTAACTTGGTTATTAATTTCATGTTAAGCACATTTTTTGTCTATATAAAAAATAATAAGTTCAAAGTTGAATAACTAAAAAGGAAAAGAAAATTATTTTTTCTACTACTTTTTATATGTAAAGAACTAGAAATATATAAAACTTTGGTGCCTCACTATTACTTCATTGTTCCCTTAAAAGCACACTAAAAAGCAACCCATGCATTGCAAGGGTCACCACTAGAGTTCACACCTCCTCTCCTCTCTCACACATGTGCATATTTAATTTTACATTAAATCATTAAAAACATAACAAGTCAAAATTAAAACCCTCATGGGTCTTCATTATGTTTTATAAAATCCATATTTACTATCTAATAGTCCTTCTTAAATCTCTCTCTCCCTCTCTCACCCACCCACCCACCTTATTATATTCAATGTTTGTAACATCTCCCCTCCCCCATTAAATCCCTCTTTTCCTCTTCAATATCTCTTAATCCATTTTGACTCTCTTTAATAAATAAGTAGGGAAGTAAATTGGATGGATTGGGGTAGGTTAAGGATCAACTTTAAATATGAACCTTATCTTAGACCCAAATTAATGTCAAAACCCAAATTTTTTCACCTAGTACATGGGGTGAACCAGTCTTCTTCTATAAAAATTTGAAAAACCATTTTTCTATTTCCATTGGTTATTAGGCTTTTCTCTCTTTTTTAATTAATTTAATTTAGTTTTGTTTCATGGATTGTTCTGATTCAATAGTAAAATGCAGTAAAAAAGTACTTAATGTGAGTCATTGGCTATCTTCATCAATCTAAATTGGAAGCTGTTTTTTTTTTTAAACTTGGTTATTGATTTGATGCTAAGCATATTTTTTTAGATTTATAGTGCTACACAACGGCCAGGGGATAGCCCATCTCCTAAACCCTTAACCCCCAACCTTAGCGATAGTGGGATTCGGTCAGGGGGTCCTATTACAACTAGCCACTAGAGAACCTACCAACTAAGCTACCATTTGTTGGTTTTCATGCCAAGTAGTTGATTTATGCATTTCTCATACTACCTAAGTTATATAAAAAGGAATGAATTTGAAGCTCAATAACTAAAAAGAAAAAAGAAAATCATTTTTTCTACTATTTTATACGTAAAAAAACTAGAAATGTATGAAACTTTGACAAATAATAACAGTTACTTCATTTTTTCCCTTAAAAATACACTTAAACAGTATCCTGTGCATCACATGAGTCACCGCTAGTTCTTACCAAGTGGCAGAATTTTACGCGAAGTTGCATGCCATTTCATTGTCACGTAAATGGTTTTATTTAAACAAACCAAAATTCTATTTAATTTGGTTGATTTATTAAATATATATTTCTTCTACTACCATCTCATCATTTTCTTGTTTGATGTAAAATTGACTTTAAGAACACCATGAGATGAACGTTTTGCCCTATATATGTGATAAGTATTTGGTTATGCTTAATTTATAAGATTGTATATGCTTTGTCCAAAACTTTATCTTTCTTATTGTGTTATTGGATGCTTAAATCAAAATATAGACACCACTTAATTTTCGGTAATTCATAACATAAAAACACTTGCACACAACAGCAGCAGAGGTTAGCGATCTACTTTTGTAACTTGCTGTCTAGGTTACCGGTTGCGAAGAGCTTCTTCTCATCGCCGCGTTGAAGTGTACCTTTATATATATGAGAAACAGACCCAAAAAATAAAAAATTGTGGAAATGTTTAGTTAATTTCACTCTCCCCCGCGGCTTCTGTGCTCCTGGTCCTGGGTTTTCAAGTCAACCAAGATGGAATGGAACCATCAAAATATACAATGCCTTTGGACCACACTCCATCTTTCTCTCTCCAGCCGCAACAAGAAACAACCGACCATATTGGTAAAACCGTGGATGTTCTAAATTTATTGTTTAGTCAATCCCTCGCTAAACATGCTTTTTTTTCTTTGAGTATTTTTCAGACGACGAGGATTAATTAATTAATAGAGCTTCGAACTACCACACTATATATAATCTAGCTGCCTCTCTTAGCTAACCCTTGCTCATTCCTTCTCTCTCTCTCCACCATGTATACGTTTAATTGCGTTTCCCTGCTGTCAACAGGTTTAATGGCAAACGTAAATCCGAACAGGGTTACAGTTCGGCCTTGTATGCGATTGTGTAGTCCTGGGCAATCTAAATTTGGGCAGGTAAAGTTGCCTGAGATGAGTGGATGCTCATCTTCCAGTCGGCACTCCATTACTGCCTCCATGATTGCACCAACGGTGCTAACTGCCATGGCTGAAACTAGCTCAGGACTGTCTCACGTGTGGAGAGAGATTCAGGGTTCAGACAACTGGGAGGATCTTATCGAACCCCTGGACCCTCTTCTCCGTGAAGAAATCGTTCGATATGGGGAGTTTGCCACCGGATGTTATAAGGCCTTTGATCTAGATCCAACCTCCAAACGCTACCTGAATTGCAAGTATGGGAAGAAGAACATACTGCGAGAAGTTGGCCTAGAGAACTCTGGTTATCAAGTCACTAAGTACATCTACGCAACTCCAGACATCTCAGTTCCGATTCAGAACGCCGGGACGTGTTGTGGCCGGTGGATCGGATACGTCGCCGTCTCTTCTGATGATGCAGTTAAGACGCTGGGCAGAAGAGATGTTCTGGTTACCTTCCGGGGGACTGTGACTAACACTGAGTGGATCGCCAACTTTATGAGTTCGTTGACTCCGGCCAGGTTAGACCCACATAACCCCCGGCCCAACGTGAAGGTTGAATCAGGATTTCTCGGTCTGTACACTTCAGAGGACGGCAGCTGCAAATTTGGAGTAGGGAGTTGCCGTGAGCAGCTTCTTTCAGAGATATCTCGTATCATCAACCACTATAAGGACGAGGAAATGAGCATAACTCTGGTAGGACACAGCATGGGAAGTGCTTTGGCTCTTCTTCTAGCTTATGACATTTCTGAGCTCGGCCTGAACACCGACCATTCAAACCGACAAATACCCGTCACCGTTTACTCTTTTGCCGGTCCGAGAGTCGGGAATTCCGACTTCAAGGAGCGATGCGATGAGTTGGGAGTTAAGGTGCTGAGAATAGTGAATGTGAATGATCCCATCACAAAGCTGCCTGGGGTAGTCTTCAATGAGAATCTAAGAGTTTTGGGAGGGCGGTATGAGCTTCCCTGGAGCTGTTCCTGCTACGCCCATGTCGGAGTCGAGCTGTCTCTCGACTTCTTTCAAATGGAAAATCCTTCATGTGTTCATGACTTGGAGTCCTACATCATGCTACTGAAATGTCCTAAGCAGATGCAAGTACAGAAGGATAGAATTAGAAATGAGTTGTTGAATAAAGCTAGGGAATGGCTCTGGATGAGCGCACAGAAGCTGGAGTACTCATGGCCGTGGATATTTCCTCTGAGGAACGCCGGTAGCTTTGTTCAGTCTCAGAGAACATGACACGATCGAGATCTGTAGCTAATACTGTACAAAATCCATCGGCATGCAATTGTACAACTTGTATACAGAAGACATTTTATTGAAACCTCCATGAAAGGACAACCATGAGGTTATATATAACTATAGATACATCATGTCAACTCAAGCTTATATATAGTAACGTGTCTTCTAACTGCACATCAATGCAATTGAGACTAGCGAATATAACTCCCAGTAATCCTTCTTACCTCCTGCAAATTAAGAGCAATAAGAAATCTTGCCATAGATAAATGATCCTTGTATTTCTGAAACATAATAGCCCTAGTTTCTGTAATTGCCGTGACTAAAGCTGAGAACGATGTTGGGTTTCTTTCCCATATATATCAGTTTCTAATCTTCCACTGCATCATCTTCTTTACGATGGGCCATGAATTTGGCTGGGAATGTAGTATCCAACGAATTAAACATATGGTGACTCACAACCATGAAACAGTACTGTAAGAATTTTGTAGGAGTGTGGAAATGGAAAAAACCACTACGCAACACAAAGGGGAGAAAGAAACTATGGGAATAAACCTTGAGAACATGTTTGACATTAACTAACAGTCTCATGCATGCGGAACACATGCTTAGAAAGGGGGATGCCCATAGTACACAATTCCTTTGAAAACATGTAGTGAACTCATCTGCTCTGACATATAGATGGCAGTAAATCTCCTTGGTAAGTATAAAGTGTATAGCAAATCAGTATAATTCCCAAACTCTTATAAATAATTAGCAAGTAAATTAAATGTTTGTAAGTGTACTTATCCATGTTCTTTTATTTTCAGGATTTCTAGGTAAATAACAAAATGGCTTTTCTACCCACAAAAAGTAAGTATTAAAATGGGCAAAATGGTCCCATCATGTTTTGCAAAAGTTTCACCAAGGTGGGTGGGAGATGGTATGTTTTACCGAGGGAAAGTGTAACTTTACTCTGGGGTCCGTTGCTTAAGACAAAATGAACATGGGAAAATTAGTCAATATATTTATCAACAAACGAAGGCCCTAATAGAAAATAAGTGTGCCATCCTTTTGTCCTTCAAATCTATTTCAAAAGTGTCATAGCCAGCCCACCCACATTTAGAATATAATCTTTGACTGTCAGTTTGATCATAGAGATAGCATCTATAAAGACAAGGGCCTCAACAGAAACCAACCTTTCTCCAACATCAAAGAGCCAAAAAGAGAACAGTCATAGGACACAGAATCCTGTTATTAGTATGAGGATGGTGGTGACGTCGAGATCCCCAATGACAAGGTCTACAGCCTCAATGACCGAGTCACTCATAGGGCTGCAAGTCGGGTCGAGTTAGGTCAGGTTGAGTCCAACCCTAAGGTCTAAACCCCCAAGCCAACCTTCAACCCGATCTACCCAACCCTAACCCTAACTAAATTCCTTTAACCCTACCCCAAACCAACCAAACCCGAAGTTGACTTCGGGTTGACTGGGCTCAGGTTGGGCCCAACCCAACCTTCTTCCCATCCCTTAAAATCTCAAAAAACTATTTAATCTCAATTCTTAACTCACTTTTCACTATAATTATATATATATATATATATATATATATATATATATATATATATATATATATATATATATATATATATATATATATATATATATATATATATATATATATATATAAATCTTATGATTTATTAGTATTTGTTTGTTGATGTTTTTATTGGTTCTTTTAGTACAAAATCGAAAAAAAAAATAAGTGTTTGAAATGGCTATAATTTACTATGAGTTATGACTTATGATAGATCTTTTATAGGCGTCTAACATTAGAGAAGAGATGAAGAATAAAATATTCAAAAACATAAAATATGTTATTAAGGTTTTAGTCTTTTCATTTAAGATTAAGTGAAGTGATTATTTTAAAAGAAAAACATGATAGTATGTAGTGAGGGGTATACAACTATCGTACATCTAAAGAATCAATATATATATATATATATAGAGAGAGAGAGAGAGAGAGAGAGAGATAGAGAGAGAGAGAGAGAGTCGGATTCGGGTTGGATCGGGCTGCCCAAGGGGTCAACCCCAACCCAAAATAAAGTCGGATTCCGACTTTTTCAGGTTGGGTTAGGGCCAACCCGGCCCAAGTTGCAAGCTTAGTCACTCACATTGAAAAGAAGCTACAAGTTGTTGACACCACCCTTACAAAGTGAAGAAGATTGACAGGCTCCAACAGCAGCAAGAGGAGATTAAGGAGATGATATTTCAACTCTACCCACCGGCTATAAGTACATAAATTTAGGTACTATAGGAAATGTGCTAGAGGGCACTCAACAAGTAACCAAAACGCACTCACATTGCAGCTTAAGCCTAAATCCCACACAACGCAACCCCATAGTGCAACGACCCTCAAATCATAATGGGAACCCTACGGTCTCTACCCTACAATATAAAAAAACAAAACATTATTGCAACGCAAAGCATACTAATTTCAACTTAAGTACCTCACTCCCATAGTTTTCATCCTACAACATGAAGTATTGAATCACTTCCATAGCGCAGAGCACAACTAGATTTATCTTAGCGTCCTCATTATCATGCTTGTTCTGCAATTTGATATATCATTTTGCAGTGGTTTCCCATGCTACGATGGTATTCTACCTAGGCATTGCATCATAGAAACTCAATTTATTCACACTTGATTTGTGATGAAAGACCAGCGCATAAACACTTCCATAAACATCTAAGTCACAACAAGCTTCTAGCTAGAAGAAGGGTAGTAGTTGCACTGGTGCTTATGTGTGCATTCCGTGGAGAAGGACAGGATCCTAGAACCCGGGATCTCTGTAGGGACACATGGTGAAACCCTACTTGTGCTTGCGTGTTCCAGATCTAACAGAACAACAAACTTTCCCGCTTGAAGAAAGTTTCCTTTTTCATTATGTGGGTTTCCTTCATAAGCTCTACTAGTTTGCATTCCTAGATTCCCTTAAGATCCCTCTACAACTCTTTCTTCCTCCTTCCTCCTACCTTCACAAAGCCATCCACTGTCCTTCAGGTAGGCCCTATTTGGGCCTAATTTAATTCTAAGATTTGGTTTTGCTTGATTTATCTATCCTTTTATAGATGAAGGCAATGCCTTCATTCTCATTCTTGAGCAATGTGAGATTTGGATCAAATACTAAATAACCAGTGCTACCATTGAGTATTTTTCCAAGTCCCACATTGCTTAGGCTATGAGAATGCAGGCCTTGCGTAGGTGGACAATTTACATAATTGAGTTGGCTCAAGTGTTCACACATATATTGACATGTGTCAATTAGCTAATATAATGTTACAATATATATTTAAAAATATATTATATTATATTACGGACCGGGCTGGGACAGGCCAGGTTTCCTGGCCAAGAATGATCACCCCTGCATGGATGAGGACCTGAATTAAGTACAGAATTTTTCAAATCCTTATCAGGCCTAGCATATTCCGAGTATGTAAACTTAACAACAGGGAGCATTGATTCTTGGAATGGGGTGGTGGACAAGTTCGCCACAAAATGGTTCACACTAGAGAGGCGCATGACCATGTTTGATCTGTGCAAATTTGAATAGAGAGCTAAAGAGGAATTGTTGGACTATGTCGTGCGATTCCAAAAAGCAACACACCATGTTAGATAAGGGAATCACAGAGGAGTTTGTGGAGTAGCACAAAATGAAACTCGCGTACAAATAGGCATTGAGAACCATGAGCTGCCTAGTTTTTCAAGAATTCACATGTTCACTCTACAATACATTTTCATCGTGTATTGAAAATATCTTCGGATGATAGTATCAGTTTCAATAAAGTCATCATCGAAAGATGTTTCTAATATACGGCAGAGATATGCTGTGGACTGTTGTGGGGCGGAGATGTGATCTAGTTTTTCAAAACTCTAGAAGTGTATTAAAAGGACCACCAATACAATCAACACTCTCATCAGTGTAGCAAACCAGTACGTCGCATTGGCTCCAGCACTAATATAATACCAAGAAAGTTATGCCATGGACAAAAGAAATCCCACGGGTAGAGGAGGTACTAGGTGAAAATACTTTTCTAGACAAAGAGATGATGAACCACCTCCATTTAGGTTGTAATAAAGAAGAAGTTATTTATATTATGAATAAATTATTTTGAAGATAGGGTGATCAACCTACCCCTACCCCCACCCAATGCTGACCCTGAAAGAGATAGACACATGATTTGATGGAGTGATTTACATTACGATGAATCTTTAATTCCTAATCACCTACAAGGAGTAGTGAACTTTAGAGGTGTAAAGTGGGCCGTGTCCGGCTGGCATGGCACATCCCATGGGCGGCCCACGTAAAGTGTGGGTCGTGCCATGCTGGCCCGCGGGCCGTGTCGACCCAAGGCCCAAGCCCGTACAGGCCCGTGTCATGCTGCGGGCCGGGCTGGCTCGTGGGCCGAGTCTCGGGTCAGTTTGGGCCGTGCATCAAGCCAAAGTTATTTTTTTAAAAAAAATAACAAAAAACTTAAAATTTTAATTTTATATGAATTTTGTGTATACAATTTCTTATATATACAATAATTAAATAAATTAGTATAATAAAATTAAAAAACTATTTATTTTATTAATATATTATTATATAATTATGATTTATATAATATTATATAAATATATATATATATAATATATAAATAATATATGGGTCGTGCTGAGCCAGGCTGTGGGCTAGGCCGTGTTGGGCCGTGGGCAGTACAGCCCGCTCAATTGTGCCGTGTCATGCCGGTCCATGAACTTAAAACCCCAGCCCAGCACGACCCACATGATCGTGCCGAACCTGCTACAGCCCGCGGACCATCATACTGGATCAGTCCAAATTCGTATCGGGCCACGAGCGGCACGGCCCGATTTACACCTCTAGTGAACTCTTCAACCTCCCTTGACACATTGGCTTTGCGATTTCAATAGAGTATTGAGATGAATGATTTCTTGGAACGAGGCCAATAAGACTTTAAG